ACCATTTTATACAGGGTGTCCACAAATTTAAACTAATCAAATAAGAACTTTAAGTGGCTATAACTTGATTAATTTAAATACAACCCCATATTTTTCAGCTTACCGGGAAATGCAATTTTTAATTACCTATCGAATGGTACTAGGATGTTGATAACTAAGTTTTTGCTTTTTTACAAAATACACCAAATAATGGTTCTGTGCACCATTTGGTGTTTTTTTTTAATTAAAAGGTTAAATAACATATCAACAAAAACATAAAACAAAGGCAATTTATTTATAACAAATGTTCGAAATGTTGACCGTCCATTTACAGGCACTTGTAAATTCTTTTTTCAAAACCACTGCTAACTCTGGACAACATTTGCGGAGTTACAGTTTTAAAAGCGTCTCTTATGCGTGTTTTCATATCGTGTAAAGTTGTCGGAAGCGTATGGTAGACAATTCCTTTTTTGTACCCCCACAAAAAGAAATCTAGTGGACTTAAGTCCGGAGATCTGGGGGGCCAATTTTGAAACCCATATCTGCCAATCCACCTGTTTTGAAAGTTGGCATTTAAAAATTGCCGAACTTCGCAGTGATCATGAGGCGGAGCTCCATCCAATTGCAGCCACATGTTGGTTCTAATATTGAAAGGGAATTATTCTAATAATATTGAGAGCTGGTTTATTAAAAACTGGAGAAACATCAAACCATTTAGATGTCCTCCAAAAAAATAGGGTCCAATTAAATATTGGCCCAGTATTCCACCCCATACATTAACTGACCACCTATTTTGATTTGTCATAACCTTGTATGCGCGCGGATTCGTATCAGAATAATAATGAAAGTTGTGTCTATTCACGAGACCATTGTTATGAAAAGTACATTCATCACTAAATAACACATTTTCGAAAAACTTTTCATTTTCTGCCACTTTATCTAACACCCACATGCAAAACTTTAACGAAATGATTTCAAAATAATTTCCATAAAGTTCTTGACAAAGCTGAATTTTATAAGGTTAAAAGTTGTGCTTTTTGATAATTCTGGAAATATTTGATTGACTAATGTTAGTACTTTTGGATATTAGATTTTGACTAACATTGAGATTTTCGATAACTGAACCAATTACCGTGAAAACATTTTCTTCATCTTCAGTGACAGATTTCCCTTGTAATGGTTTTTTTTTATAATTGACACTCCCACTTTCCTCAAATTGGTGTAATAAGCTCTTACAAACTGTTGGCTTAGGATGATTTATTTCAGGAAACTTTTGAGCACAAACTCGAGAAGCCAATAAACAATTTTTATGACATTCTCCAAGGGTGAAAATCATGTCAATACGCTCTTCTCTTGGATAATTCTTCATTTTCACTTAGCA